AGGCTAGGATTGCACAAACGTACCATATGCTCAGGTCATGCATTATCTTCTCTGCTGTGCTGCTTCCAAAACCTAAGTCATTAATTTTTAAGCAATGCTGGGCCTTTTTAGAAGTATCAGAAATTGTGTCTACATCCAATTTAATTGAATTTGTGATACTATTTTGTGACCTAATAAGGAAAGTATTTACTAGCTACTTTTGCCAGCTTATTTATTTATTTATTTATTTATTTATTTATTTATTATGTATGCAGTATTCTGCCTGCACATATCCCTGCAGGCCAGAAGAGGGCACCAGATTTTATTGCAGATGGTTATGAGCCACCATGTTGTTGCTGGGAATTGAACTGAGGACATCTAGAAGAGCAGCCAGTGTTCTTAACTTCTGAGCCGTCTCTCTGGTGGCCTACTTTTGCCAGTTTTTAAAGATTATTTTTCATATTTTTGGTTATTGGAAACTGTTTACATTAATCACCTAGTTTTTTATGTCACCTAATTATGAATTTCTTGAAGTTAAAATCAGTAAATGCGTATCAGTTTTTTATTATTTAACTCCTTACAGCCAAGTTTTCATTGGTTTTTCCTTTAAATCACAGGAAACACGAAGGAGGAGTTCTGGTGCAGCTGAAGTTGGTGGGCCAGTCAGGACTCTTCATTTAAATTATTAAAAATGTCCTTCATTCACAGAAAACAGATTTTGAACATATTATTTCTAATAACATTTCTGTGGTTTTTAACTTTTTAATGAATATCACATAGGACAAGTGCTAATTTGTATATAAAGAACTTGGCAAAAGGTTTGCTTAATGTAAATATAGTCACAGTTAGTATAGACTCATCAGTATATTTTTGATAATTTTTCATGTATGGTAAAAGTTAAAGTTAACAGATATTCTGATATAAAACTCAAGTTTTGAGAGTCATTGCAGGAAAATGGGAAGTTTTTAGACTTTCTTAAAAGACTTTGTTAAAATTTTAGGACACATTTTTCTTGACATCATTGTTTAACCAATTCTGCAGTGTTTGATAGTAACACTTTAGAAAACACCTGGAATCAATGAGTAGGCGATGCCTCTGTTAGCGTGGACAGTGCCTGGTAAAGCTGCGTGTACAGCTGCTCCCACTCACACTGCTGGGCTGTGCTCGGTTCTCTTTGTCTCCCCATTTTTTGTTCATTTATAGCTGAAGTGACTTTGTTATTAAAGTTTATGCAAATATGGAATCTTGTGTACTTGGTGTTCATTTTTTCATCTTGTTTGTTTGGGATAAGAGAATTGTGTGAGATGTGATGCAAATTACAGAGACAAATACTAGAAACCACATGTCACCATTTTGAATGAAAGAATAGGTTTTATCTAGCAAAATGGAATTTTTCAGAGTTATCTGAAAGAGTCTCATTTGTTTGTATCACTTAATGGTTTTATTGCTGCAAGTTAGGCTGCGTGAGTCATCAGTTAAGAGCATGGGTTCCAAAGTCAAAGCCTGTCTTCTCTCAGTTGTTAGCTTTGAGATATTGGGCATGACCTTGCCTTTCTGTCTTCATCTTACCATCTTAAAATGGAAGTAAGAATAGTATGTAAAGTATTCATTTGTACTGCAAGGCATACAGCCCAACCAATCAATGTTAGCCTGGCTCCCTGGGTTGTACAGGCTAGCTGCTGCTCCCAGTCACCCTCCCTACTGGGTTCCATTAGGCACCTTCATACTAAAGTCACCTCATTTATACTAATATATACCAATATAACCACCGGTTCTTTGTTTTCCTCTCCTGAGTAGTAACAAACACTCCGCATAGTAGGGGTGTGGCTCATGTAGGAGAGCATCTGCCCAGAATATGTAAGGCCCTGGGTCTAATCCTCAGTAGCACACACACACACACCACATATACATAAATATATATGCACACATACACACACATACACACATACATAACACACACATGCACATACACAACACACACACAATCAGTGTAATTTTATTTTAAATGTAACTAAAAGGATAAATTTGAGTCAAGATGTAGAAACATGTTTTATATGACAGTCTTTTTTTAAATCTATACTGAATAACAAATTAATAATGCTCAATAAATTCCAATAATAAGAAAAAACAAGTCAAGATGACCAGGCCTCACCTCTCTTGTCACCATGTTGCAAACAACAATGTCCCAGTTGTCTTTCACTGACAGGAGGGCTGTCACCTACCTGACGGCTGCAGTCAAAGCCCTGGGAGCCATCACTGTCCAGGGGAAGCAGATTCACTTAATATAAGTAAATGAGTATCCTGGCATAGGAAGGCTTCCGCCACGTGGAATTTTTCAGCAATATATTTTCTCTCCAGAGCTTTTCTGAAAGCTGCCCCAGTTTGGTCTACATTGTGGCCAGAAAGAACCACTAAAGGGAAAATAGACTATCAGGGTTTCAGTTCATACTGTCCTTGAATACAGTGTTCTCCCCCTACTAAGCCGAGTTAAGTTATTGAAACCCTACTAGAGGTTGAAGTATTAAAATTCTTTTATTTAAGACATGGGTGGTGGTGCACACCTTTAATCCCAACTATCAGGAGGCAGAAGCAGGAAGATCTCTGAGTTTGAGGCCAGCCTGGTCTACATAGTGAGTTCCAGGGCAGCTAGAGCTACACAGACAAACCCTGCCTGGAGAAAAAAAAAAAAAAAACAACCAATAATAATAAATTTATTTTATTGATTCAGCTTCCTGAATTATTATTTTAGCTTAAGAACAATTTTATTAGCGTTTAAGAGAAAACTTAGTACAGGCTAGGTGAAAACCCTTGCAGCGCCAGGAGAGAGAGAGAGGAAAGGCATGCCTTTTGAGTCGGATGTAGATAGATTATTCACAAAGGAGAGGGCACGCTCAAGAGCACAAGGGGCTTGGTGAGCAGAGGGAAGAGCCAGCTTCCTGAGCCCTTGATTTCTTACGACTATACACTTTGGGAAACGGAATTGAACAGTTTCCATATATTTCTCTCATTTCCTTAAATTAGTGAATTTTACATGTACAAGAGCAGTTTTTTTAAGAGCATTAATTAGTCATCTTTCTGCGACTGTGATAAGACACCCTGACCAATGCAATTCATAAAGGAAAGATTTAAATTAGATTATGGATTCACAGGGTTAGACTCCATGATAGCAGAGCACAGGGACAGCTGAGAGCTCACACCTTGATCCACAACCAGGATTCAGAGAGAGCTCTGGGAATGGCAAAAATCCTTTGACGATTCAAAGCCTACCCCAGTGCCATACCTCCAAGTCCATACTTCTTTATCCTTCCCAAACAGTTCCACCAACTAGGGCCCTGGTATTCAAACAATGGGCCTATGGGGGTCAGTCTCCTTAAAACCACTATTACCATTATAATTTCAATCCATTTCTTATGTACTAGAGACCTCAGAATTGTCTAATTTTTGTAATTTTTTGAAGAAAATATGCAGGCTAATAGTGTCATCACATTGTTCCTCCTCAGGCTTTTTCTGAGTGTCAGACCCTAGAAATGCACTGTGACATGATGACAGTCTAAGCAGCATTCACTGATAACAGTTGTGTTTACTTTTGATTATGGTGTGCAGGGCCATACTCCTCAGTAGTTTGTGGAGCGTTGGTGCAAGCTCCTCATGCCCTGGCACTCAGTTCTGTGTCCTCCCTCATGACAGTGACTGCATCGCATGCAGTTCCAAGGCTTGACTTTACAACCTGTAACTTTCCATTTTGTTTGGGGTGTGTTTGTGTTGTTGTGTTAGTTTGGGTCTGTGTTTGGTTTTTTTGAGATAGGATCTTACTCTGTAACCCAAGCTGGTCTGGAATTTGCTATGTAGCCCAGGCTGTCCTTGAACCCATACCAGTCCTCCCTCATCCATCTTGAATGCTAGGGTTACAAGTGTGACAGCTATTCCTTTTCTATATCTTACTGTAAATTAATTTTCCCAAATGAGAATAGCACATCTTAACCATGGATCCAAAATTCTTGTAAGAAAATGTATAATAAATCCACAAATAGAGTGTTGATGTTCCAAGAAGGGTTATTGAACATAGATACTCTACCCATGTGTGTAATAGCTGCTCAGTTAATTCCAGAGTATCCCACAGAACAGAATTGACCTTACCATGAGAACTCAGGACTCTGCTACCAGGAAATTCAAGGGCAAGTTGGTTTCTCTAGCTAAAGCCCATTGAGCATAAACCACAAAGCTACAACCAGATTTGATTAACATTTCCTGATTTAACTGTGGATCAAGCATTGCTCCTGGGGTCATAATCAATAGCCACAGACCTCTGCTCCACAAGAGGGACGGGGTTAGGGGCAGCCTCAGTATATCCCAGCCCAGTGTGTGAGGGGGCCACCATCCTGGGAAACACCATTTCCCTTGCTCCGACTGCAGACAACACAGGGTGGGTACAGGGTACTCTGTCCTGGTTAGCTCCTAACTCTAATTGTGATTGATGTTAATGTGATTCATTTCCTGTTACCCCATCCTCAGTCCTTGCATTGCAGTCCCACATGCTTGACATTGAAGCACAGGTCACAAATGACTGGAATGTAAAGCTCTAGGCAGTGTAACAGAAGTATTTGTGCAAAGTCATCCTGAAGGAAAAGGGATGAATGTTCTTAGGAAATCGACCCTGGTGTTTACAGAAGTGATGAGGCTGGGCAAGAAGGGTTAGGTTTCAGAGTTTTAAACTGTCCTGAGAATTCTGAATGGCTCCATCTTACAGACAAAACTTCTGAATTAGTTTTTTTTTTTTTTTTCTGAACGGGTTGTGACATTCTCCAAGCGGCAAAACACTCGAACCTCCAGAGTTCGCTGAGACAGAAGCGCCAGGTGGCACAGGCCAACAGTAGCCCTGTTGTGTGCCACACTGGTTCCCACGGGAGAGCGAAGCCGCCTGTATCCCGTAGTCTAATTGGCTGCACTTGGGAGTGGGGCGTGGCTTCCTGCTCATCAGTTTCCTGGGCTCTGATTGGTTACCAGTCAAGGGCAAAGCCCGGCTCGTTTCCTGGGATCTGTTTCCAGGGTGGAGAGGCCTAGGTAGGAATGCCGAAACGGAGGCTTCCGGCTGTGCTAGCCCTGCTGCCCACATGTGAGCTACTCCTTTTCCTCCAGCTCACCGGGGTCAGGGTTAACAGCTGCCGACCGAGAATGCCCCCACAGAAACGCCAATGGCGAGCACCCTGAGTGGAAAGTCTGGGGAAAAGGGGAAGCTGCTCAGGCCACTATATCTGTCCTGGCAGTGCTGTTCCTCTGACCAACTTTGTGGTTCTTTGATTGCAAAATTGGGATTCACTTAAAACTGACAGATCAAAACCTAATTGGTGTTATCGAGTGTAGGTATAAGTGTAAGTATAAGAATGTATTGAGCGTCTCTACATAGGACCCATTATCAGATGGGCAGCCTTGGGCAAGCTGCCCTGCCTGCCTCCTCCTTTAAGGTGGGTTGTGGTTTAGTGAGCAGTAGATGTGAGGGTTTTTTAAACGTTCTGAATGACTTGTAATATTAACTCATTTAATGTGCACTTTCACTGAGAAAGGCCACAGGGCCGGCACAGAAAGGTGAAGTTGTTACGATAATGGGCGAGGGTGACAGCTGCGGGGTGGGTGTTGGGGAACAAACCTGCCAGGCAGGCAGAGCTTAAGTGAGAAGTTTTATTAGAAAGGGAGGGGGGAAGGAAAGGGAAAAGAGGTAAAGAGACAGAGGACAGAAGAGAAGAGAGAGACAGGAAAAGTCCTGACTGCTCCAGGGGAACCGCGGGGAAGAGAGGGGAAGTGGGCGGGGGTCTTTCTTTTTAAGGGGTCCTTTTCACCTTCCTGCTGACCAGGGTACTGAGTGCATTCTGAAAGGTGACACATGACAGGAGCAAGCCAGCATAATGCCTGAATCCTTACAGAAGGGACTTGCTGAAGTTAATCCTAGAGTAGTGCGGCTCTGCAGAAATTTTGCCCTCTGCTTTGTTGATTCGGTTTCATTGCTCTGTGGTCCATTGTCTTTGCTCACTACAGAGAATAAACAGCAGCACTCAGTCTCCTCCCTCCCGGCCTACACAATTACTATGGGCTGCTCACAGATCCTGCTAAAGTCATTTCTAGAGTGAAAAGGGTGTGGGCCCTATTTTTCTGGAAAGTCTTTAACTCTCAAGTTCTCAGATGGATTGTGATCTCAACAGAAGTATGAAGAAGTGTTTCACCAGGAGACCTAGTGCATAACACCCCTGCTGGCATCCTGGGCTTAAAAAGCAAAGCAAAAAGCACTAGTTGCATAAATGGACAACTGACAGATGCTACTGTAAAGTCAAAAGCACACAGGAAAGTACCTGCCTCTCTTTCCCAAAGTCAGTGTTGCCAGCCAGTGAAGGGCAGAGAAATAACTCATATTAGAACATGGTGATTGGAAGGGTCTGCAGAAACATGAAGTCACAGTCATCCTAGGTAGAGTTGCAGTCCATGGTGGCATGGAAGCCTATGAAGGGACATGAGTTTTCATCTGAAAGGCCAGAGAGGTTTCCTTAAGAAAGTGGCACTTAATTCTGGGGTCACCTGACAGAAGTACAGTCTTATAGACTGTGTGGTGGGAACAGTTAGAGCCCTAGGGACTGAGAAGTGACTGAATTGTGAGGAAGGGAGATGGGGAATTCAGGTGGCAGCAAAGCCCAGGGTCTTTTCTAAAATTATTGTATGTCTGTCCTAAAGTGCCACTGAAAAGTTTATTGCAGAGAGGTGACAAAATCACATCTGAGAAGCTACGGAGAAGCCCCAAGTGGACTGACTGAAGGCCTGGACAGGGACGGGCTCTTTGGGGAGAGACTGGAAGGTAAGAAGGAATGGATATTTACTTGCTTATTTGGTCCCCCCACCCACTGTAAAGTCCTGTCTGTATTCTTTTTTAATGTATTTTAATTCAAATATAATTACATAATTTCCCCCTTCCCTTTGCTTCCCCCAACCCTTGCTAAGCACACACACACACACACACACACACACACACACACACACACACACACCTCTCTCAAATTCGTGGTCTCTGTTTCTTTGTTACTTTGCAGCCTAGGCTAACCTGGAAAACTCAAGGTATACCAGGCTGGTGTCAAAAAAAAAAAAAAAAAAAAAAAAAAACCTCTCAGCCTTCCTAGTTCTGGAATTTCAGACAACCAAGCATAAAGATGAGTCTATAAAGGGGACAGATAAGGGGTGAGGAGTTGTAAGAACAAGGAGTGTGGAGCATCTTGGAAGTCAAACAAGAGGGCATTTTGAAAAGCAAGTGATTGAATGATGCTGAAAGCTATAAAAGCCAAGAAAAGTAGGAATTGAAACTACTCTTCAGATCTGATTGCAAGGCCGCTGCCTTTACTGAGAGCTATATAAATAGAACAGGGAGGAGGAGGATCTGCAAGAATTAGCTAAGAGGATGGAACGAAGGGGACCTTGTGGGGAGCAGCAGCAGTGAGCATCAGAACTGCAGAAAACGAAAGGCAGTGGAACACCAAGAGAGAGTGCAGCTGACAGTGTAAATGTGAGTGACCACATTCAGTTGCTTGTCTTCATTGCTCTTTGTAAAGAATGTGTTGGGTGGGGAAAGTTGACCTTTTTTAATGAGTTGAGCAAAGTATTTCGGGGTGGTGAGGAGGTGTGTGCCAAGGTGCATGTATGGAGGTCAGAGGACAACTTGCCGAAGTCATTTCTCTTCCCACCATGCTCACCTCCGGGTTTAAAGGCAGATCACTAGCCGTGGTGATGAGCACTTTTGCCTGCCGAGCCACCTCCCTGGCCTTTCTTTAGTTTTCTGTTGAGGTACAAAGTCCTAGGATATGGGTAGAGTCCATCAAAAATCATCTGGAGAGGACTCACTACTCCAATTGCTGTTGAAAACATTTGTGGTAGGAGCCAAGATGCCAATATTATGGGAGTTGGAGGAAGCAGATTTCCCCCTTTGAGGGGCTGGAGGCTTGTGAAGGAAGGAAATACTGCGTGTGATGGAAGTAGGGTTAGAAATGGAGCAAAAGATGTGGCTGCTGTTCAGTCACCAGAGAAAACTTCAGCAGATGTGGGGCTGCTTCTTACGGATGACCAGGAAGTGATAACTTGCCATGGAATCCATCCCTGTGAAGATGACAGACAGCAAAGGATTTAGAGTCACATAAACTTGGCTGAGAAAGCACTCGGTCTGAAGGCCTGACTTCGGGTTAGAAACAGTCCTGTTTGAGGGAAATGCCAGCAAACAGCATTGTGTGCTACACAGAAGTCGTTTGTGAAAAGGGCAATTGAAGCAGCAGACATTATTGTCTTATTTTAAGAACTTGGCTGGGGCTGGCAAGAGGGCTAAGCAAGTCAAGGTACTCGCTGAGCCAGCCTGACAGCCTGAGTTCAATCCATGTAAAGGTGAAAAGAGAACCAAGTCCACTGAGTTGCCCTCTGACCATTCCAGGTGCCTCCACACACATATAGCAATGATAACAAAACACATTTTTAAGAGTACATTTTCAAGTCACCCCAACCTTCAGCAATCAACACTGATCACTCCACAGCCATCAGTTTCAGGGGAGACAACACCATCTGTTACCAAGACTGCAGTCAAGGCTCAGGTGATCATTAGCATTTTTTAGCAATGGAGTGCTTTTTTTTTTCTTTTTTAGTTGAAATTAGGAACAAGCTTGCTTCACATGTCAATCCCTTCTCCCTCTACCTACCCTCACCCCACAATCCCACCTGCCCCTAGCCATCCCCCCTCCACTCCCCAGGCAGGGTAAGGCCCTCAAAAGGGGCAATGGAGTACTTTTTAAACTTTTGTACACATAATGCTACACATGGTTAACAGAGTATAGATTGTTATAAAAACAGCTTTTACATGTACTAGAAAACCAAAAGGCTGAAGGGGAGAGATGGTGTACTTGGTGAGGCAGAGACAAGGTAGAGAGTAAAGGAAGGGCAGCAGCAGGCTACAGATCAGAACTGAGAGAATTGACATTGTCAGTGGACAGTGCAGAAGAGGGAGTTTTTCTAGAGTAAGATGGTCTGACAGAGGAAGTGTGTAGCGCAGGCCAGGAGCTGGAGCATCCTGTCCAGGTTAGGTGAATGGGAAGAGAGACTGCCTGCAAACAAAGCCCATGTAGATGTATGGGAAAGGAGGCGTCATAAATTATGGGAAGATCCTGCTTCACAGAAGGTGGAAGGTGGGGACCAACACTTGAAGTTGTCTGTGACCTCTGTATGGGTACCCACTCTCATACACACATGCACAAACACACAAACAAAAATCTGTTTTTGCATGAATGTGCCTGAAAAGCTAAAGAAAAATGTCCTTGTTTTGATACTTGGTACATGAATGGACTTTGAAAACATTACACTAAATGAAATAAGCCAGACATTTTTAAAAATGCTTGCTATGGTTTCACTTAATGACCTACTGGAACAGGAATGGAGCTAGAAAATGGAGTAGAGACTCCCAGATGTGAGGGCAGGAATGGGGGTTATTGTTTCATGAGCACAGAATTTGTGTTTGACAATTCCTAGGTATAGATCTTAATAGTTGTCCCTATGCCACTGAATCATACATTTGAAAATGGTTGAGATACTACCATGCCTTTCTTCACATCTTACCACAGCTTGCTAAAAAGTGACAGCTCTGTCTCATTCCTGAACTACCAGCATTTGGGAGCTGAAACAGAAAGGTCTTCAATGGAAGATCCTATAAGACCAAAAATAATGTATTAGCCAGTGGTCAGCACCTCATAACAAAATACTTCACCAGTGAATTATTTTCCACATTTCAGAATAACCAAGAATTGCTTATATGCTTGTGTTCCTTAGGATGTCATCCAAGATGGGTTTTCCTGATTGTGAGCATAGCAACCCTGCGGCTCCCCACTCCTCTCTAGGATTCTAGAAACCCACTTTAAAGGGCAAACACGAAGTACAGGCAGATGTTCAGCATGTAGCACAGCTGCAAACAGCCCCATTTGATAGGTGCCTCTGCCAGTGGGAATGGCTTGACATGAAAACGGGGCTCTATCCAGTTGCAGAGAGGGAGGAGTGATGAGCAAAGGGGTCAAGACCAGGCTGGAGAAACCCACAGAAACAGCTGACCTGAACAATGGGGAGCTCATGGACCCCAGAATGATAGCTGGGAAACCAGCATAGGACTGATCCAGACCCCCTGAATGTGGGTGTCAGTGAGGAGGCCTCGGAAATCTATGGGGCTTGTGATAGTAGATCAGTATTTCTCCCTAGTATACCAATGGGCTTTGGGAGCCCATTCCCCATAAAGGGAAACTCTCTCAGCCTAGAAACACCGGGGAGGGCCTAGGCCCTGCCCCAAATGATATGACAGACTTTGAAGATCCCCCATGGAGGGCCTCACCCTCCCTGGGGAACAGAAAGGGAATGAGATGAGGAGTTCGAGGGGTGCAGGGGAGGAGGGAACTGGGATCGACATGTAAAACAAGCTTGTTTCTAATTTAAATAAAAAACACAAATAAATAAATGGAGAGAAAAGAAAAAGAAAATGGGGCTCTAATGTTCTATCCTTTTGCAAGACATGACCCACAAACCAAGCTAGTACTTATCTGGTGCCTGAGCTACACAAGATCTGCCCCAACCCTCAAGCAACCCTTGGCTGTTTGGGACCTGCTCAGAGTTATAGTCAGAATTCAGGTGTAATTCCCATGCAAAGCTTTGCTCTGTGTATTTAAATATTGTAACAAGGAAGTGAGAATCAGAAGGAGAAAAACAGTAAACTATGAACAGCTGTCATCAAGCATGGCACATGCCTCAAATTCCAACTTGAGGCTTTGCATCAGTGCATGAGTTTGAGGCTAGCCTGGCCTAGACATCAGAGAGATATAGCAAGACCCTATCTCAAAAATAACAAAGTATTGAATTATCTATAAATGGTGGGGTTGTTAAGTTTTCAACTGCTTATGTTCCTCAGAATTCAGCAAGTCTGCAGTGAGTGTTTTATGGAGTTATTTGGAAAGCTGACATATGTAAACATTTTATTTGCCCTTTGTAAATTGTGCTTCTATTTAAAACTCAAGGTTTGGGGTTTGTTTAGCAGAAGGAAACATTTTGCTTTAATGCATGTGGGCTGTTATCACCTTAGACGGATTCATCACAATGATAGAGGCTTATTACTTATCGGTTCTAGAGCCTGCAGCATCCATACCCAAGGTACCTGCAGAGTCTGTCTGAGGACAGCCCATTCCTCCCAGATGGCATTTTTTTGTATCTCACAATGAAAGTCCAAACAATCTCTTCAAAGCCTTTTTTTAAAATATAGTTTTATTCTCTGAGCATTTCATACATGCATACAATGTATTGGTCATACTCACCCCTGACTCCTTTTCCAGATCCACCCCCTCCCAAATACAACTTTAAACTGAATTTTAATGTGAATCACTACAAGACTTTGGCACCCTGTAGTTTCCATTGGTAATGTAACTACCAGTTATTAGATACATACTAGGTGCCTGGCTGTCTTCAATGTACTTGAAATGCATTTAACTCTCAACAGTACCCCTGTAAGGTGTGGGTGCTGTTCTCATTTACAGAGCAGGGTGTTTTTAATCCTCACTGGCAAGTTTCCCATGAGGCACTGTTTGAATTACTGTCTTCATAGTAATTCATATGCAGTTCAGCTACCGAGCCTTCACCCCTCCCCAGCGTGTGGTCTAGAGGAGAGGCTTGCCTGTAGAGAAACAACAGTGAGAAGGGAGTAGACCCCAACCCAGATCTACCTGGGCTTCATCGTACTTACCACCTGTTAAAATTAAAGCTCTTGCAGAAACTGCTTTAAAATGTACTTTTATCTTGCCTAAATTGCTCTGTCTACAGCGTTAGCCTCCATAGGCACCAGGAGTGACCCATCACTGCCAAGCAGCATTCCTTACAGAGTAATCGTTTGGATTAAGACAGGTCTGTAAAGTCACCAGCCTGTATGCCAAGAGCATTGGTGATGGCAATGACTGGAAAGGGCCATCTTTGCACTCCTGCTTTCAAATCTATGAACACAGGAAGCTGCAGAGGACTAAACAGCACTGTGTGGCAGGGCTGACACCAACACTCCCCAGAACTAAATATTTACCAAACCCTAGGGCATGTGCCTGTTACCAGAAACAAGACACAGTGGTGAAGGAGCTGGCATGTTAATACCACAACACACAGATGCCACCTGAATATAGGTGCTGGGTCATTCTGGCTTCTGTTCAAGAGTGGGTGAAGCCTTAGTGGGAAATCTCCCCCAGTATACTAAGAGGAGTCACGCCCTACTTAAAGATAACTAGACCAAGCCTCACTGAAATACCTCCAGATTTAAACTTGTCACATAGTGGAGCTGCTTCCTCGAATCTTACTGTTTGTCCACTTGAGCATTGCCTGTCCTGCTCTGGGTCTTGTCTTCTTTGTATGGACTTCCATGATGTGTACAACTTGTATGAAATAAATTTGCATGCTCTCCTGTTGACCACTTTACGTTGCTTTATTGCATGAGCCCAGCCAGGACCCAAAGATGGAAGTGGAGTATTGCAGCCCCTTACATTTGCAGAGGCTGCAATGCTTCAGACGGTGTAGACATCGCCTAATAGATGAAGATGGCAACCAATATGGGTAGACTGTGAGGTGCAGCTCAAATCACGACTGTGTTTAGTTGAAGGCAGTTAACTTACCAACATTACTCCCTAAGTTAGAACCAGGTTAGGCATGGCTGGAGTAGCACTAGGTGAAAGGGTCACTGTCACACAGCTGACCTGGTTTCCAGAGGTCTCACTAAAGCCATCACATAGCACTTCTCAAGTTGCCAGGCAAAAACTGACCTTAATCCTGAATTTATAAAAACAAGTTACAAGTTTACAAGTTTACATAGTTCTAATAAAGCAAATATGCATTTATAAACTCATTTCAAATAAAACAAACTAACCTGTTTGGATTATAGCTCATCAGCAAAAATACTTTAAAAACAGTGAAAGATGACTGCTTCCCTTCCCAAGTATCTACCTGAGCTAAACATCAACTGAAAAATGGAAAACTTGAAAAAATATGCCACCTAAAAAAACATAACTGCTATAGGAAAGGGAATTTATGTCACAACAGTTGATGCCTATAAACCTTTGAAGTCCATGGCCTTCTGTCCTGTAATGGAGGACCTACTTCATATGGTGGATGTAGAGCTCAGACAGACGATGTATTTATAAAGGATGAAATGCCTTAAATTATAACATGTTATAATGGGGTAAGGTTTCCTTGCTAGTGTAAATCTTTTATTTCCAGTTACTGCTTATAACTCAGGTTCCTAAGTGTCTGTTCTAGAAGTTGGCATTCCTTTAAACTCTTCATCTTCCTTACAGGTATAATGTGGACATTCTCAGTTTAGGATGTGGGAATTAGCCAGTGCTTACAGCATGTCGTGGAGGATGCTGACAGGACACCAGCTCTGCAGGCTGTGTCTTCTCAGAAAGCCACAACCAGCTCTGAAAATCAAACGTTCAACATGTGTCACCTATGAAATGGACAGCCAGGCAAACAAACAAAGCAAGAGAACAGTGGAAAAGCTCCAGGCATGTTCAGTTGATATCATGAAGATCTGCAGACTGAAAGCCTGGGTACTTCTGGAGGATAACACCTATGTTGAAGAGATTGCAAATATTCTGAAAGAACTCGGTGCCAACAAAACTGTGATAGCTAGTATTTTAGAACGCTGTCCAGAAGCAATTGTCTGCAGTCCTGTTGCTGTCAATGCCAAAAAGAAACTCTGGCAGATGGTCTGCAAAAACGAGGCAGAACTAATCCGGTTAATAGAGCAGTTTCCAGAACCTTTCTTTACCGTCAAGGACCAGGAAAACCAGAAGCTGAATGTCCAGTTCTTTCAAGAGCTGGGACTCAAGAATGTGGTGATTAGCAGGTTTCTGACGACTGCCTCTAGCATTTTCCATAATCCTGTAGAGAACAACAGGCGAATGATCGGGGTTCTCCAGGAGAGCTACCTAAACTTAGGTGGCTCTCAGGCCAATGCTAAAGTGTGGCTACTGAAGTTATTGAGCCAAAATCCATTCATTTTGTTAAGTTCTCCCACAGCTGTAGCCCAGATACTACAATTTCTTCAAGGGCAAGGCTTCACAAACTCTGAAGTTCTTCAGCTTCTGTCCAAACTTAAAGGGTTTCTTTTTCAACTTCAGCCAGGAAGCATCCAGAGCAGTATGTCTTTTACTAAGGCTATTTTTGAGTGCACAGACCATGACCTTCGGCAGTTAGTTGTGAACTGCCCTTCGTTGCTGTGTTACCCTGCCTCAATTCTAGAAGAGAGGATCCAGGCACTGCTGAAGGAAGGAATCACCGTGACTCAGATAAGAGAGTCACCAATGGTCCTTGAGTTGACACCACAGATAGTCCAATACAGGATAAGGAAGCTGAACTCTTTAGGCTACAAAATAAAGGATGGGCATCTAGCAAGTCTAAATGGAACAAAAAAGGAGTTTGAGGCTAACTTTAGCAAAATGCAAGCCAAGCAAGAAAGGCCACTGTTTAACCCTGTGGCCTCATTACATGTAGAGGAGTGACATGGAGCTTAGTTCTAGCAGGCAAAGTGACCAATTCACAAAGACTTAACAACTCAGCTTGCAAGCACTAGTCAGTCTCAGGGCCTACTGAATTTCTGAGTTGTGTTCAAGTTACCTCATAATTGATGGCCTCTGACTCATTTGCTGTGTTAAAAAAAAAAAAAAAAAAAAAACAGTTTAAATAAAATTAGTAACTTTAACTTTGACCTTGAACTATTACTCCAAAACACCATATAGTGTGATAATTCACATGGATCATTTTGAAGGAACTGACAAGTACACACTCTTGATAGGAGCACATGAACAATTTTAATTTTGTTCCTAGACAGCTACCAAAATGTAATTCTTAACCACCAGCCCTCAGTCACTAACAGGCCAATGACACGTTCCTTTAGAGGACTGGCTTCACCTTGTTTGTGGAATGGATTAGTTAAGAGCCTACTTCCATGTTCAATTTGAAATCTCTAAGACACACACATTAATTATGAACCTATTTCATTGCAGAGACCAGGTGTATTAAGATCGGAATTCTGTTTGGCCTCAGGAATAGAAAAGATTCCCACCTTTCCCTGTACAGCAAAAGGAAGGAATGCAAACAGACTGGGGGGTCGGGGGTATGGAAGCTGAAATTTCAAACTTAATTCATGCACTTGAATTGAATGCAGCTTCCTAGAAAGCCTGAAAATCTACTTCATGTGATACCACTTTTAGTTGTAGTGTTCCCACTTCCATGTCTAAATCTTGTGCCAAGATAAGCATTACCCAGATAAAGACTGGCTTTCAATTGTATAGTTTGTAACAGCTGTAATACTCATTGGTTGTAATGCTTAACCAGTTGACTATGCAGCATGCAACAGCTTCTGAAATATAATAAAAAATGTGGCCAGTATCCTTTTTCCATTCTCTTAGCAAAGGCAAGTATCTCTCACTATCCAAATCTGCTCGACTCCTTAGCTGGGATATTAAGTAGCAACAGTGCTCAGGAAGTTAAGAATACTTAATGTTCTACAGTGAGACTCAATGTAAGGCACTTACCTGAAGCACTCAGAACTGTCAAGAAAAATGTTAAGACCAAATGCAGCTTCGTGGCAGTGCATGCTTCACCTCAGATTCAATCACAAGTGTGTACCTGAATATATGCATGAATGAACATGTGTGCATGCTTCATGCAGTGCAGCACAAAATGAACAGCATCATTGGTCCATCTAAGGAACAGGAGTTCATTCTATGCATGAACCTCTACAGCACTGTCCTGGCAGTTATCAGTAATCCATTCACTTGCCCCAGCTCTCAAAGCAGGTTTGATATATATTACAGGCTATGTGGTCCTCTACAGTTACCTGTCAACTGTGAGGTGGTTAGTAACAGGCAAATGTCCAAGTACAGAGCTGTGAGAAGTCAGAAGTGAAGATAAACATCAGTGCCACTTGCATTACTATACCATTTAAAGCCATAGCTGTAGATGAGATTACCACAAAGAGGCAACCAAGATGTAGAGAAGTAACTAATAAAGTTGGAAAAGGGCAATCACTGGTTGAACTTATCAAGAGTGGCTGGTGGAGTAGGGAAGCAAGAAGGCTATGCAGAGTAGGTTGATATGAAGGGAAGAGGAGGGCTTGGAACATGAGTGCCTAAGTTGGGTTTGATTCCTAGAACTCACATAAAAAAAAAAAAAAAAAAAAAAAGGTCAATTGTAATGAAACTCACTTGTAACCCCAGGGCTAAAGAAGTGGGCATGGGATCCCTGTGGCAGCAATCTAGTTTGGCCCCCTAACAACATACAATAGAGGAGTGCTCCCTAGATGTAACTTCTCAGGGTTCACACTTTAGCGTACCTAAGCATACCCCACAAAGTTGTTAAAAGTCTTGGGCTCTACCTTGCAAAGACTGAGAAAACTGAGATGACAAAGCCCAGACATCTGAATTTTCAGTCTTAGTTGTTTAAATTATATTTATATTTTACTGTTCTGTCCACATCCAAGTATCATGTTTGTAAACTATCACCAAAAAGCTGGCTACAGCACTTCCTGAATTGCTGTGTAACCAAAAGTTTTAAGAAGATCCTGTTTACAAATTGCCTTTATTTCTGTAGATCTTTATGAAACATTCCATCTTTGCAGATCACAGTCCTTTATTATCAGATTTGTGTGTTCTTTCCCATCCCTTTAATACAAAAAAACCCACATTATTCAATTGTCTATTTTCATCTGACATTTCACTAAATACAGTATTCATATGTCAACATTATTAAATCAGTTATTCAAGTGGATCACGCAAATTTATCTTCATGGTGCCAAAACCCACTCAAAAGAGGAGCTGAATAACAGATGCTTCCAGGTGTATACAACAACCATAGTTTCTGAAGTGAACTAGTCCTGTTTAACAGGTCAAACTGCTAGACTACAAAAATAAATTGGAAGAGACTCAAGTATATAGCTGTATACATCATCAAATGGCAAGTTCGCTTCAGTTAGAACTACAGCTAACTGTATATCTGTACAGTTCTCTGATATTGTTGAAAAAGCCCCTCTGAACAAAATTGTACTTTAGTGTTTAAGACAATTGAGAAAATTTACCAGGTGGCTTTTCTGTAGCAGAAATTAATTATAGTCATTTCCTCAAGTGATTTTAAAGACAAGCAAAGTTGAAAATAAATATGCGAGCACATATAAGCTAAGTCTACACTGAGACGAATTCAAGTACAAAGCACAGCCTGTAAGTTAGAAATACAAACTAGCAATGAATCAATCATTTCTAAATAGCAGGAATCAAGTTCTCCAATACCATTATTCAGATCACTACGAATGGGTCTATTTAATTTTGGAATTAAAAAAAAATACCATTTGTTAAGACATTTCACCAGATATACCAACAAATGTCTCTTAAATTATGTCACATGAACTAAATGGCCTTTTAATTCCTTCTGAATTTGACTCAATGATTTTAAGTTTAGTGTAAGCAAGCATAAAGGTCCAGAAACATTTACAGATTTGTTTGGAAGTCCTGCTGTTATTTGTGAATGCTTTGGAAATGTATATTTTTATGCAGTTGTTGATCCACACTACTGATAGAATACTCTTAAGAGTTACAAACATCTAATCTACATGTCAGGGTGACTGTGTCACCTTCTCAGGGACACAACACTCTGACATATCTGTATCACGGCCCACTCCCACCCTCTCTCCAGGGAGTCAGAAGGGGCAGAGTGGAGACACATTTCTAGTTTTAGGCATAAAGAAAATTAAGATCCCCCCCAGGCTTAGATTATAAAATAAATGCCAAATATATATTTCAATTATTAAATTTCCAAGAAACTGAACACTGAAACAAAAAGAAATGGACTTTTGAGTTATATTCTATGAGAATGAATGCGCTATGACGACACATTAGGACAACACATTTACCATTCATTATTTAAAAAAAAAAAAGTCAACTCCCTACCTGAATCTGGCTTGAAAAATGGTATGTCTACATCTGCTTTAAAGGGTTAAAAGAGAACATATCTTAAAAGCATCAATAAATTTGACTGCAGATGCAGCTCATCTGTTACAACCCTTGCCTAGCATGCATGCAGCCCTGGGTTCTATCCCAGCATCACATAACCCAGGCATGGTGTCTCATGCATGCCTGTAATCCCAGCACTTGGGAAGTGAAGGCAAAAGGATGGGGAGCTCCAGGTTTTCCTCAGCTACATATCCAGTTCAAGACCAGCCTAGGCTACAGGAGATCAATCCCATCTTAAAAACTAAAACAAAAACAAGCAAAAAAAAAAAAAAAAAAAAAAAAAAAAAAAAAAAAAAAGAACCTATGTAAGTCATTGAAAGCATTTATGTATTTTTTTTATTCAAAGCCAATGGAGCCCATCTCATTCATCTGAAGAGTCAATCTTCATTTATTTGTGGTTGCTTTTATTATATTTTTAAAGGAATTGTTACTGGTAATTTAAGACATCCTAAAGACAGAATATGCATGAAGGATTATCTTAGATGCTTCAGATAATTGTAAGAACTTAAAAACTAATGCTTGTTCCTCCTTAATCTAAAACTATTCCCACACAGCTTTTGATCAACTAAGAAATGTTCCATAGGCACTGTGGGGTGTATTAATGATGGGGCCATGAACCCAACTAAAGCATATGTTTGATGAGAACTACTGTCAACAACTAACAAGCACTATCTTACCCACTGACACCAGGAAACACCTTTACCTCAATACTCCTGAGATTCTTAAGAGGGAAAACTAGTTTTACAACCTTTAAAAGAATTCACTGATAATCATAAGAACTGCACAAATTTAAGGTATTAGAAAAGATGTTTTCTTTTGTAAGGCATCAATGATTAAACAAACAGAAATTTTATCTAACAAAAAACAATTAACAGTATTTAAACTTTTGAATTCCTGCTACTTTTCTGCCAGCTTAAATAAGAATGCCTCTTGGCCTAAACCACTACAGTTATAAAAAACTAAGACACCTGAAACTATTAGGCACATCAAAGGTACAGTTTATGTAGTTCAGGAGTCCCTTTGTAAGGGTCATGAGTCACCTGGCACACTGTACACATGGAACTGTAAAGTCATCTACTTAGTTGAACTTTCACATTTTTAGTCAAACTGAAAGACTTAGAGCAAATATTTAAACAGACCATTTCTTCAGTTACAACTGAGTAAGTGTAACATTTTACCAGATAAAAAGCTGAACTTAAGTATGAGAAGCCTCCATACACTGGGATAGTATTGGTCTCTTCTTGTTTTAGATGAAGCCAGCCATCAATACTTTCAACACAGCAGTTTAGCGGTTGACTTGGCTGTAGTCTGTAATTGAGCAGTTCAATGCCACTGGAATCGTATGCCGTGGAGAGCAAGTGTGCAAGTGTACAAGTGTGCTTCGTCTCTTAGTCAGACTTGTCTTTCTTCTTTCCTGATAAGGGCACTTTGTTTACAACAGCAGAACCAACAGCTGTCACTCCCCCAGCCACAGCAGACACTCCTCCTTTCACCAGCCCTATTCCCATGGAAGGCACAGTTGTAACAGCTGTTTTGGTCACCTCCAGACTCTTCCCACCAATCCAAGCCACACCACCAATGGTGGCGCCAACAGCTCCCTTTGTAACACTGAAGATACCTCCAGTCACACGAGACAACATGCCTGGCTGCTGCTGTGGATGATCTTTCATTGACCCTAATGAGAGAAAACAGTATACTGGTTAAATACAAATCAAACAGTACAAACCGTAAGGTAACCTCCTTACAACCAGGTGTTTTAGCTGATAAGCTCCACTATACTGAATGAACAGTAAGGAGCTCTTGCCTAAGTAGAGCTGCACCTTGGCCCAGAGCTAAGTCTTCTGGAGCAAGGTCTTATTAATGTAGCCCATGCTTTCCTCCAGCTCACAATTTTCCTACCTCTGCTCAAAAACACTGAGATTACAGGCATGCACCACCACAGTTAGTGTTGTGTAGCAATTTTCTCAGAAATTAAAATCTTCTACTTTGGAGGGAAGATAGTTAAGACACAGAATTTTTTATTAAAGGGAAGATGAAGTATTCCATTCTAGAAGCTCCTCAAGCTCAAAAAGTAAGCAAATCAAATAGCTTCAGGAAGTTCCTGAAACAGACCAGATTCACTAGGCCCCTTCCTCCCCAAGCACATATAAACTGTAAGGACTGCATTTAGACAAGCTGAGGTGCTGGAAGAAGCACAAACCAACTGAGCAGCCTGGAAAGGACACTCTCAACCCAATGAGCTGTCTGCAGACTGTGCAGTGTGCTCCAGTTTTCAACTTCTGTGAGCTGTCACCCACACTGGAGTGGACTTTGGTGGTACAGCTGTCTTTGAATCATTTCTACTCCTATAAGTAACCCCAATTAAACTCACTGGTTTCCCAAGTTGGACTTTGATCTATCAGTGGTTTCCTATCTGGAGTGAGCAGATGTATGTCCGTATCTACCCTGGAATAGTCTCACACAGCATGTGTGGCTCAGTGCTATGTCTTGTCTATAACAAGAAATACTGCAGAGACTAAACTCCTTTCTACAACAAAATCCTATTTTAAAAGATTTTAAATATTTCCCTGTCTCACAGGTTTATTACTAAATTTACCCTAAAGAGTATGAAAAAATAAAAATATGTATCCTTCAATTTCTGATGCAGGGTTCAATCAATAATTACCAAAATAATCATCTTTATATAATGTAGTTCTCAAGATGCTCTGGGATCTCTAAGAACTTTGGGGGGAGGGGACACATGGGAAAAAAAAAAAAAACCTCTTTCAAAGTAATATTGAGATGGCATTGTGTTTTTACTTCACTAGATGATGTACAACATAAGAGACTGATTGCAGAAGCACTGTAAGAATGCACCTGTCTTCTATCACTCCAAACAGTAAAGATTTACAAAAATATACAAACAATATCACTTAGTAACAAATCTCTCATTTGAAAGTTATAAAATTGAGCTTTTCTAAGACAACAAATATATTCATCTTTTTTTCATTGCTTTACATTCTAACTGGGAAAACCTTACTGATTATTCTAAATTGTGCTTCAGGCAGGGAATAGACTCCAGGATAAACAATTGGGACTATAAGAAATAATCAGAAGAGCAAATGCCTACAGAACAGGAGAACATCTTTGCCAGCTGTACATCAGACAGAAAACTAATATCCAGATTTTATTTTCTTAAAGTATGAAAATCATATACACAAAAAGCAATAGCCAATCAAAGTGTTTTATTACCTTAGCCCTCAGGAAAATGCAAATTAAAACTACTGTGAGATACCATTTCACCCAAGTAAGAATGGCTACCGTCAAAACTAATAAGGCCAGATGCAGTGGTACATTCCTTTAATCCCAGCACACAGGAGGTAGAAGCAGGAAGATATATACCTATGTAGGTTTTTGTTTGTTTGCTTGTTTTTCTAAATACTTATTTTCCACATTAATACACAAAGTATCATTGCAGCATTTGCAAGCAAAATTGGTTCTGATTTCTCCCATCAACTTACAAAGTTCCCAACCAGCCAAGGCTACATAGAGAGACCCTGTCTCAAGCAAATAAAAATAAAAAACTAGTAGTCAAAGCTGGTGAGGATTCGAGGAAAGAGGAAACCCATGTTCACTGCTTGACAGAATGCAAATCAGTATAACCATTATGGAAATTACTATGGAGGTCTCTCAATAGAACCTCCATATCATATGACCCAGCTATGCCATTCCTGGGCATATACTCAAGACAGCATACCATAAGCCAGAGCTCCTTGAACATCCATATTCGCTGCTACTCTATCTACAATAGCAAAGAAATGGAACCAGCCTAGATGCCCATCGAGAGATGACATTGAAAATATGGTGCATATATACAGTGGAATTATCATCAGCTGTAAGTGAGCAGGACTATGAATGGTTTGGACAGCATTACATTAAGTGAGGTGGCCCAAACTCAGAAAGGAGTAACTGCATGTTCACTTTCATATTTGGGTCCTAGCTTATGTGTGTGTACAAATGGGAAGAAATGCAGATAAAACCTAAAAATCTAAAAAGGAGATCAAAAGTGGGTAAGAAAAGATGGGATGCTGAGGAAAAGGGGACATGAAGGCAAAGGAACACATGTGACTTGAAAAACAGACAGGAGACAGAAAAAAGGAGATGAGAATTGGGGAAAGGGAGATCAGGTAAAAAAAAATTTTATTTGAAAATGCCATGATACTTGCATGTTAAATATGAAAAACAAATATTTTTATTTTTTATTTTTATACTCCACAGGTATAAGATATAGCCACTGCTAAATTGATTTTTAAAATACAAATATTAAAAACTACAAAGCATAATACATTTTAAATGGCTAAAAATAAAGGACTTAAGATACAGGTACGCATTTGAATATATTAGTTATACAATTATATTAAATCCTGAAAAAATAAAAAATAAAGCAAGGAGCTCTGTGTCATCAGACATGCCAGTAATTAGAGTACTGAGGAAGCAAGAGGACCTTGGTTTAAAGTTAGCCTAGGCTATGTAAGGTGACCCTGTCTCAAAAGAGAAGGATGTTTAACTTTATTGTAATACACAATCTCTTCCTGAAGATGAGGACCGGGGAATAGTGGCATATACTTGTCAGAAAGATCCTATCTCCAAAGAAAACAAAAGAGGTGCTGTGATTTGTTTTTCTTTTTTATGAGACAGGGTCTCACTATATAGCCCTGGCGGTCCTGAAACTCACTATGTAGACCAGGCTGGCCTTGAATTCAGAGATCCACCTACCTCTACCTCCCAAGTGCTGGGATTAAAGGTGTGCAGCATGATACCTGGTTAACAATTTTTTAAAAAGCAAAACACAGAAATAGAAAACATAGATTCAAAAACTATATATTTGTAAATTATATATACTGTTAATTTTATAGTTTGGAGGGTTCATTTTTTTTATCTTTCTAGAAATTTTACTTGTGCCTAACAATCTGGGCAGAAAATGCAGTAACTAGAGTTAAGACATCTAGCCCAGGGGTCACATGCAGCCCCAAGGAAACCATTGTTTATGTTAAGCTTAGAGAATCTATACTAAAAACACAAGTGAAATATGACTACAGGTATTTTCTGTACAGAGTCAGGCCACTGAGGTTCAGGAAGCAAAGCTTTTAGAAGCAAGTGTAAGAGTAATGCATGTTATAATTTTCAAGCTAAAATAGTTATGATTTAGAAAGATAAATTAAGCAGAGCCTAAGATCATATATGAACATAGAGAGGTTATCAATTATAATGTAATAAATGATAGGAATTTTTAAAATCTCAAGCCTTGACTTAGATGTAGTTGTGTGCAGGACATGAAAAATAAACAGACCATCCTGTACCTCCCATACCTTTCAAATAAACAGATGGTCTTGCTTATGAAATGGTGTTAAAAGTGTGACAAGAAAAATAAACCTTAAATAATGGGAATTGTATCTTATCCATGAAGGTCTGTGCTTTCTTATTAAAGGCTAAAAATATTTATTTAAATTATTTTTGAACATGTTTATTGACCAGATAAAAAGACTATTTTGGGGTTTTTTTGTTTGTTTGTTTGTTTTTTGTTTTGGTTTTTCAAAATAGAGTTTCTCTGTGTAGCTTTGGACCCTATCCTGGCACTCGCTCTGGAGACCAGGCTGGCCTCAAACTCACACAGATCCACCTGCCTCTGCCTCCCGAGTGCTGGGATTAAAGGCATGTGACACCAACGCCCAGCAACTATGATTCTTATATTTAATTCTTACAAATGATCCTAGCTTTAATTTCCAGTACTTTCCTTCCATTCTCAGTGGTGGGTACATGCTTACCTTCCGGTGGTTCATCACTAAGGTAAGATGGGATTTCTTGATTTTTATCTGCCTGATTCATGATCACCTATAAAACAAAACATATTTCAGAATACAACTACTACTTCTCACATGCTGTATTAAATCACCTTGTGCAATTTTATATAGAGAACATTTTTAAATACCTGCCACAAAAGTACCTCATCCTATCTCCTATTTCAAACTGTAGAGTTTACAAAGGGCTTGAAATTACACCAACAGGCAATAGGAATTTTATCAGTAACACTGACAAGGAGCAGCAGTGATGATACACGTTTTCCTTTGTTGTTTTTACTGTGGAACTTCAACTGAAAATTGCTATTGAAAAAGAACTAGACAATAATAAAAAGCTTGGAAAAATAAGATCCCACTCTATACAGATAACATGCCTAGTCTTGAATGTTTTTGTTTTTCTTAGAGTTACATACAGAAGTACTGACAGAACTGAAAAACCTGTGGAAAAACATAAACTCTGATTAATTCTAAGTAAAGGTATGAAGGAAATTTAAGAACCAATAAGCTATACTAGGATGAAGAAAGTATGGTTAGAATTCCTTTTCCCAATTCCTCTATGATCTGAAAATATTTGCTTTTCTTTTTCAAATGAAAATAACTCAGTAAAGGAAAGACAAGATTGGCCTAAACTGTTTTTTATGATATCCTATCTTGCTTGGACAGAAAATGAGGACTGTGATTCCAACAGTCAATTAACTATCTGTTCCATGTCTCTATGGCCTAATATTCAACTATCTGTCCTATGTCTCTACGGCCTTACAGTCAACTAACTATTCATTCCATGTCTCTACGGCCTTATACTCAACTAACTATTCACCCTATGTCTCTACAGCCTTACAGTCAACTAAGAATCCATCCAATATATCTATGGTCTAAGTTATGTCTATTCATAAACAATAGATATTTTAAAAGATAACTGTAAGGAGGCCAGGAAAATGGTTCAATCAGTCAAGTGCTTACCACACAAGCATTGAGGACCTGAGTTCTGAATCTCAAGACCTGTTTTAAAGAAAAAAATTAAAATCTGGGTACATGCTTGTAAACCCAGAAGTGCCAAGGAAGCTGAAATGAGACTTGCTGGCCAGCCAATCTAACTGAACTGGTAAGCTCCAGGTTCAGTGGGAGACCATGTCTTGAAAAAAGTAAGGTGGACAACTGACTGAAGAACACAGCAAATGTTGACCTCTGTCCTCTACATGCATACACATACTTGTGCTTGCACACCTGAAGGTCATCATACACACACAAACATGTACACACATACACAAAATGGAGAATTTAAAAAGACAATGTGAAAAAGAACAATGAGCTTTAGTACACTAATTAACAAGTAGTGATTAAGCACCAACCTGAACTAAACAATGTCCAAGGTAAAAAGGCAGTGAATCCCTGCCATAGTGAAACAGTCATACTAGTCGAAGAGGACAATATATTGACACTATAGTGTATGTCAAACAGTGCTAAATGCTACAGAAGTGTCGAGTGGAAGAGAGAGAATGTGGTGTTTTAAATGGATCATCTGTAAGTTTATTTCAGGTGCATCCCTGAAGAGGAAAGGCATCAGACATTTAGATGAAGAGTCCTCAAGCATAACAAACAGCAAGAAAAAGGGCCCCGAGGTAAAGTTTATCAGGAGCAGCAAGAAACAAGAGCTAATAAAGAATGAAGATATTACATCAAAGGGTGATAGACGATAAAATCAAAGAATGTAGTCTAGAGGATACAGGCCCCTGAAGGCAGTGGTGGAAACTGGCTTTTAGCCAAGAGAGAGGAAACGCCAATAAGACACACTGAACAGAATAACAAAGTGTTCTGATTTCCCTTTTTAAAATATTAAAACGTGTGGTGGCTCAGTCCTGTAATCATAGCACTCAGGAAGTTAAGGCCGGAAGACCTGGAGTTCAAGGCGATCCTGAGCTATGCCCTACTGAAGAAAGGGGGTGGGGGGGGTCATCATTCTGAACTATGAAAAGAACAGAGTGGGGAAGCTCAAGCAGTGGCACAAAGACCTGTTACACTGTATTTTAATAACTCATGTCAAAAAGCAAAAATTAAAAATGGGAACTTTGGTATGGGTTGTAGAGCAGACTGTAAAAAATAGAGACTTTCAAAGGTAATTTTAATCTCATGTATTACATCTTGCTATGGCTTTACAATCTAAATCCTAAAACAGACTTCAGTGGGCCTAAAATCCAACAGCATGGATCATGTGATTGGTAGGTATCTTCTAGTAGCTCTGGTGAAAGTTCTGACTCAAGATTAGTAGCAGCACCTAATATGGTCTGATTTGTGAATTTAGCACATCGTTTCATATGATTAAAGAAAGTAACAATAAAGCTATATAATCTTGAAAACAAAGTATTGTTTGGTACATTACTCCATGATGAAATTCTTGATTAACTTGACTTAATTAGAAAAGTCTCTCAAGGAGCGGTGGCACACACCATTAATTCCGGCACTCAGGAGGCAGAGACGGAGAGATCTGTGAGTTCAAGGCCAGCCTGGTCTACAGAGTGAGTTCCAGGACAGCCTCCAAAGCTACAGAGAAACCTTGTCTCAGGGGAAAGAGAGAGAGAGACAGAGAGAGAGAGACAGAGAGAGAGAGAGAGGTCCCTCAAACTAGAAAGCTAGATTTACTTCCATTTATATTAATAATCATTGTAAAAGCATAACAAACTATAGAGCATAGTGTTTAAGACTCTAGCATTAGAAATCCTAAGTTTGAATCCCAATGCATATAAAATATATGACAAAGGAAAAAATAAGAGGTTTAAAATAGAAAGATATTCCAGCCCTAACCCTAAAATGAGAATATTATTTAACAAATTCTAAAGCAAAACATGCAGAAAATCTTGAAAAAATATATGTTCCTTCTGTGGAAAAAATGACTTTTTGTAGCCACTTTCTTCCTTAATTTCAAGAGGAGACAAACTTCTGGGTAAACTATTCCTTATATCCCACTACATAATACACAAATCTATATACATATACTTTTATACATAGAAACACTTGGCTAACTAGCTGAGGGTCAACATAATCAATAGAAACTGTAATTATCCAGAAATTTGAAATTTACATGCAAACATATATCTTATTTCTTCTTTTTTTTTTTTTTTTTTTTTTTTTTAGGCAGAGTCTCCTATGAAGCCTAAGCTGACCTGGAACTCAAATCCTGTCTCAGTCTCACAAGTGCTGGGATCATAAGAATATGCTACCACCCCCAGATTCATCTTCTGTATTTTAACTGTAATTCAACAATATATGTGAAGCAATTCCAACTGTATCATTTCACAAGTGTTCCTATCTCATAAATTCCTACTACTGGCTTTATATTTTTCTCCTACTAGAGAATGCTTTTAAAAAATTATTTTTCAGATTTTATATGTATCTTACATCCAATATAGAATGTCACCACTTATAGATCATAGCTGCCTACAGATATGGACATTAATCTAATGAATTAATTAGATTAATCTAATGAACTGACGTCATCCATCTGTGGATGAGCAATGAGGAACCATGTGCAGAATAACAATGACAGATCTATGCTTTAAAAAACAAAAAAACTAACTAAGATTTCTTGTCCCGAGGGCATTGGTGGCGCACGCTTTTAATCCCAGCACTGGGGAGGCAGAGGCAGGTAGATCTCTGCGAGTTCGAGACCAGCCTGGTCTACAAGAGCTAGTTCCAGGACAGCCTCCAAAGCCACAGAGAAACCCTGTCTTGAAAAACCAAAAAAAAAAAAAAAAAAAAAAAAAAAAAAAAAAAGATTTCTTGTCCAGCACCAGGTGAGGAGCTCTGCTACAAGTTTCCAATTGCTATTAATTCTGCCATGCTCTCCTTGCTGTGGGGGACTAGGTATAGTCCCCAAATCCTTGAGCCAAACCAAACCCCAATCCCTTTAAAAAAAAAAAAAAAGCCACTAGCTAAAATCCTTAACACATCTGAAGAAACACCAGCAGAGTTAATAGACCACCTACAGAAAATTTTTGCCAGCTATACAGATAGCAGATTAATATCCAGAATATAAAAATGAAATTAAACACCAAAAGAACAAATAGTATAATCAGTAAGTGGGCAAGTGAACTAATTTTCAATATATGCATTAAAAAGTACTCAACATCTTTAGCCATCAACGAAATGCTAATCAAATAACTGTAGATTCCCTCTCACTCCAACAAGAAAGGCTACCATCAAGAAAGCAAAAACCAAATGCTGTCAAGATTAGGAGAGACTAACAGGGTCCTCGCATAAATATCTCCTTATAAGATTTCTAGGCAAGATCTCTCTTTTATTCTGCCTATTATTTTTACTTTATTTTGATTTCTTCATAGCTTTTATTATCACTTAATATCTATTTTAAGTGTATCCTTATTAGAATGTAAACTCTAAGAACAAGGGTTTGGGTTTTGTTCACTACTTCCTCTTCAAATCCTTAATGTCTGATACAGTCAAATAGTTGAATTTTTGCATAAAGTCAGCCTGGGATTAATATAAGCTTATGGGAAGGATCTATGCTGTTAGATTTCTAGTATGAGCAACTAGTATGCAGAAATGATAATGAAGACAGCATACATTAGAAAAGAAACCGTTAAAAGATGAATGACTTCTGAACAAGTTGTAGGGGGACATCCACAATAGGAGATACCTTCAGGGAATCCACACAAGACATTCATTAGGCAATCATACTTACGAAGCAAAGCCAAGTTGGGGTTTAGGCAACAACTTTAAGTGATAATCTATAGAGGGAGATGATAGGATCATGCTAATGAGTGGTGAAAATGGACTTCCAGCCTTCCCTAAGTTGTTTGCATTTAAGAGCCAGCTGAAGAAGAAAATTTAGCAAAAACAAACCTTCAAATGAATACTCAGTATTCACTGACTAGTTAATATAACTTCATAGAGGTCAAGAAAAGAATTTATAAGATTCCTAAAAGTTTAATGCAGGCATTAAAGCAATTTATCTGCATCAAATACTAGAGGGAAGTGTTAATTATTACAGATTAGTATAAAAGATTAGTATTAAATGATCTGATTATTTTTACAATGCACTCAAAAAGACTGAATCCTCAAGTTTTAACCAAGATTGAAGTAGAAAGCCAGGTATCCTGCAATCCTGTAATTCCAACACCCTGGGGACTGAAGCAGGAGGACTGCCATGAGTTTGAGGCCAGCCTGGCTACAGTGAATTCCAAACCAGCCAGAACTAGAAAACAAGACTGTATCTCAAAAAGAAATAAAGACATAAAAGTTGCCCTTTAATAAGATTTTTTATTTTATGTGTTTTGGTCTGTGTGTATAAATGTATGTGTGTGCACCACGTGCAGCACATAGTCCCTGTGAAAACCAGAAGATGGCATCCAATCCCCTGGAACAGGAGTCACAGTTGCTTGTGAGCCTCCCTGTGGGTGCTGGGAGTTAAACCCCCTGACCCATAGAAGAGCAGCCAGTTCTTTCAAGCACTGTGTCATCTCTTCAGTCCCCCAAATTATTAATTTTTGTACAAGCCATTCTGTTCTAAACTCATTGCATCGCTGGTTTAACATACACTTGAGCCCTAAGTCCCTGCAGCGTATTATGCATTTAGACATGTACAGGTACTACTCTTACCCAGAATTTACTTATAGGGAATACACTTTCCAAGCAATTACCACTTTGATCATTCCTTAAGAAAGAAAATATATTATCTATTTTTTAGGAGCTCGTGATGTATACAAGTTAATAATGCATTCACATGTCTAGTTATAAAAAAAAAACTTCCTGTCGGGCGTTGGTGGCACACGCCTTTAATCCCAGCACTCAGGAGGCAGAGGCAAGTGGATATCTGTGAGTTCAAGACCAGCCTGGTCTACAAGAGCTAGTTCCAGGACAGCCTCCAAAGCCACAGAGAAACCCTGTCTCAAAAGAAAAAGCTTCCTTTAAGAGGGCATTGATGACAACAGTCTTTAGATCAAAGCAAATGATTTATTTTATAAACATAATCAGTTCCATCTTTTGGTCCTGACATGGACAAACCATTACAATATCAACTATAAAAGACATCTTTACTACAGACTGTATAACAGCAAATTCAGCAGCAGAGACTTTAATGGGAAAGGCATAGTTCTTATCTAGTACAGAATACTACAGCAGCTGGCAAATATATTGGGCAAATATCAATACCACTATTCCCTAGAGAGTAATTTATTCCAATAATAGAAACAAGTAACCAGACACCTGTTGGAACCCTTTCCCTCTGTTTTGTGTGTGTATTTGAGGGGGGAAAGAGAAACAAAATCACTCATGAAGAAATGCTATTTGTGGGTTTCAGTTAACATTTTATATAAAATGGGTTTTTTGAAAAGCCTCTGGCTATAACCCTCTAAAATCGAGTAAGTTAATAGTATAAAGCTCAACTACGAAATACAGTGTGCAACACTGTACCTTCAAAGTCCAAAGTCACTGCAAAACATTTGTTACACAAGTAACAGTCTTCCTTTGTAAGAAAGAGACTAAGCCAGGCACATTGGTTCACTCAGCTCTTGTGAGGCTACAGCAAGACTACCTCAAGCTAGGCCAGCCTAGCTACAGAGTGAGGTCTACACCAGCCCAGGCTAGAGTGAGAACCTATCTTGAGAGGAGGGAAGGAGAGGCGAGGGGAGGGGAGGGGAGTGGGGGGAATTCTGCATGTGCTATATAGAAACTGCCATATCCTCACTCCTTTGCTAACTGAGGAGTTTCAAAATTACACATACTAATAAGCAATGTACAATAAGACACCACCTTGTTGCCTTTATGCTTCTGTAGCTAACAATACTGAACACTGTATAAAAGGTGGCTAGAGGGAAGGCATTGAGTTTGTCAAGTAAGAAAAATTTATCAATGAAAGTTTAAAAATCACACAAAAAATGACAAATAACAATGGACTGTCTCAAAATAGAAATGTTTAAGTGTTGTCTTAAATGAAACATGGAAGTCAAATACATGGAGTAAAATACTCTGCCAAGCCAGAAAACCAGTACATCAGCCATCCTCACTAAAATACATACATTCACCGGTTCAGCAGATAGTGGTATCCATACTTTGTACCAGATTTTGTTGAGACAATGAATGAGCATACATACAAAGACCCTACTCTTAACTGTATGTAATCTGATGCAATACCATTAGGAATTAGGAAAAGGGCAAAAACTCAAGGGCTGAAACAGGAAAGTTAAGATTTTCCCAGAAATAATAATAATAAAAAAACAAATACTTGATTTGTGGATTTATTTAGCTAATGTAAAAATCACATAAGCTTTTCTATTGAGGTTTTCGTTGAACTTGGTTTCTGGTATAAGTGGTATAACAAAAACCAAAAAAAAAAAATTAAAGTGAAAAATGAAAGCAGATCTATATGACTTTAAACGTTGCTAAAGAAGGAGTGGAAATACACTTACCTGTTGTCGTGATAGCCCTTGAGGGCAACAACTAGTAGAAGTTTTAAACACTAACCAATAGTAGATACAAATAACCACAATGTTTCCTTTTGGATTAGCAGCGTTCACAAAGAAACAATCCAGTAAGATTTCGTTTCCTAGTCTAGGTGTTTCTAAGTCTTCCCAGAAGCCCTTTCTCCCCCTCACTGATCCACCTTTATCCTTTAGGCACAAGCCTTTTTTTTTCTTTAGCAGAGGGAGTGACGTGGCAGGAGAGGCAGAAAATGACCCTAGAGGCTGGTGCTGACTTGGGCACCTCCTTCCTACGCTATCCACCCAGCACACCCTAGTTCCCGTAGAATTCCCCCGTAAGACGTGTCTAGAGAGACGATCCCATGTGATCCGGAGTGGAAGCTGCCTGTGCTCGGCAGGCAGGCTCGGTTTGCGATTCAGCCTGGGGCGGGCACTGACTGCACTGACGGGGGCTCTGGGACTCCCCAAGCGATCCTTGACACCGCCTGCGCCCCCCTCATCCCCACACCTGCGGCAATGTTTA